TCTCTCTCTCTCTCTGTCTGTCTCTGTCTCTGTGTCTCTCTCTCTCTCTGTCTGTCTCTGTCTCTGTGTCTCTCTCTCTCTGTCTGTCTCTGTCTGTCTCTGTCTCTGTGTCTCTCTCTCTCTGTCTCTCTGTCTCTGTCTGTCTCTGCCTCTGCCTCTGTCTCTGTGTCTCTGTCTGTCTCTGTCTCTCTCTCTCTCTCTCTCTGTCTGTCTCTGTCTCTGTCTGTCTCACTGGCTCTGATCTTGTTTCCCCTTCCCCACTCTGTCTGTCCTGGACATGTGTGATGTCTCTCTCTCTCACACTCACTCCCTCTGTTTCTCTCTGTCAGTCGGCATGCATGAACTAACTCAGCACAAGGTTGCAGTGAAAATCCTGAATCGCCAGAAGATCCGCAGCCTTGATGTCGTTGGCAAGATCCGCCGTGAGATCCAGAACCTCAAACTGTTCCGGCACCCACACATCATCAAGCTGTAAGTGGGGGAGGCCCGGGACAGGCTGCACTGAGGTGGGGGTTCCTGGGGCCTTGGTACTGAGGAAACTGCTAGCTTCAGTCCCCTCACCCAATCTCTTCCCTACCTCCTGGCACCATTTCTACCAGCAGTGTGGTCAGTCAACAACATTTTCCATCCATCACCTCCAATCCGAGTCTCCTGCAGACATCCATGCCTACATTGAACACGCACAAAAAGATGGAGCAGGGATCATTGTCATTTCTTTGTCAGTCACATGGACATTATGCATGTCATCACCCTTCAGCAGGTTGGACAGAACATCAGGTTACCTCACCCAGGGTTATCAGATAAATGCAGAAATCTAAGAGGCCCAAAGTTAAAATCACACCAGCCATGACCTTATTGAATGCAGTGCAGGTTCAGTGAGCAGAGTGGCCTACCCTTGTTCTTTGTTTCTGTTCCTGGTGTTCCAGCTAACATTGTGAAAGGCTGCAGTTGTTATTGTGATATTCTTGCCTTGTGTACAAGTTACTAACCTACCCGTCAAAAGCTGACTCCTTTAACTCAGGGCAGCAACTGAAGGAAACAGACTGAGTTGAGACTGTAGCACACTCCCCGGTGGAGGTGATGCACAGGGGAGAAGAGATGCTGTTCCAGCGCAGCTACAGTTCCTGTGGAGTCAGTACACATCCAGCAAGACATGATCACTCCCACTCTCGTAAGCAGCCTTGGTATTTCTGCTCTGTGCTAGTGGACCGAGAGCTTATAACCTGTGACAACTGCTTTGTGTGGTGTGCTGGGCGAAAACACAGCTGCAGTGATCTCTCCAGGATACAGCCCAGGTCAGCAGGATGGAGACCCTGAGCTCCTCTGGCATTAGGGATTGACTCTTAGCATTTTACTTTTTCATCCATGGAATGTGGGTGTCACTGGCTATGCCAGCATTTATTGCCCATCCCTAGTTGCCCCTTGAGAAGGTGGGGTTGAGCTGCCTTCTTGAACCACTGCAGTCCCTGTGCTGTGGGTTGACCCACAATGGCCTTAGGGAGGGAATTCCAAGATTTTGACCCAGGAATGGTGATATATTTCAGGTGATGTAAGTCAGGATGGTGAGTAGCTTGGAAGGGGACTTGCAGGGGGTGGTGTTCCCATGTATCTGCTGTCCTTGTCCTTCTAGAGGGAAGCGGTCGTGGGTTTGGAAGGTGCTGTCTGAGGATCTTTGGTGAATTTCTGTAGTGCATCTTGTAGATAGTACACACTGCTGCTACTGAGAGTCGGTGGTGGAGGGAGTGGATGCTTGTGGATGTGGTGCCAATCAAGTGGCTGCTTTGTCCTGGATGGTGTCAAGCTTCTCAAATGTTGGGACTGCAGACATCCAGCCAAGTGGGGAGTATTCCATCACACTCCTGACTTGTGCCTTGTAGATGGTGGACAGGCTTTGGGGAGTCAGGAGGTGAGTTACTCGCTGCAGTATTCCTAGCTTCTGACTTGCTCTTGTTGCCACAGGATGTGATTGGAAGGTGTGGCATTCACGGGGGCATTGTTCGGGGGGGGGGGGGGAGGTGGTGTAAGAAATGGGAAGACGACACTGGTCGGTGTAGTCTATTGGTGCCACATGGTAATTTTTTTATTTCAATTCGATGCTATTGTTAACTCCCATGGTTAAGTTTAAAAACTGAAAAAAACGACCAAACAAAATTGAAAGAATAGAAAAACGTTGAGGATAAACTTGCAAGTAATATCTAGACAGACTATGAGAGCTTCTTCAAATATATGAAAAGGAAGAGAGAAGCCAAAGTGAACATAGGCCCCTTAGAGAATGGGGCTGGGGAAATAATAATGGGAAACCAGGAAATGGCAGAGGAATTGAATAAACACTTTGTGTCAGTGTGCATAGTGGAAGGCACTAATAGTATTCCAAAATTACCAAGTCATCTGGGGACAAAGGAGGAGAGGAAATAAGTACAGCAGCTGTCGTTAGAGCAAATGTGCTTGGAGAAACTCATGGGGCTAAGGACCAATAATGGGATGCATCCTCGGATATTAAAGGAAGTAGTTACAGAGCTAATGGATGCATCCAGGAATCCTTAAATTCTGGAAACTATCAATTTAACACCTGTATTTAAAAAGGAAAGGAGATCAAAAACAGATAACAACAGGCCAGTTAGCTTACCATCTGTTATTGGGACAATGTTAGAGTCTATTCTAAAGGATGTAATAACATAGCATTGAGAAATACATCCTCTGATCAATCAGGGTCAGTATGGGCTCATGAAGGGGTAATCATGCCTGAGACATTTACTAGAATTCTTTGAGGAGGTAACAAGCCAGATAGATAAGGGGGGAGCAGCGGATGTAATATATTTGGATCTTCAGAAGATGTTTGATAAGGTGCCACACATTAGGCAATTTAATAAGAGCCCATGGTGTTGGGGGCAGTAAATGAGCATGGATAGAGGATTGGCTAACTGATAGAAAACAGAGGGTTGGGATAAAGGGGGGCATTTTCAGGATGGGAACCTGTAACTAGTGGATAGCCACAGGGATCTGTGCTGGGGCCATAGTTATTTACAATTTATATTAATAACTTGGATGAATAACGTGGATGGACTGTAGCCAAGTTTATAGAGACATAAAAATAGGTGGGAAGGCAAGTGGTGAGGATGACACAGAGTCTGCAGAGGGATAGAGACAGGTTGAGTGAATGGGCAAAATCTTCGAAAGTACAGTATAAAATGGGGAAATGTAAGGTTAAACACCTTGACAGGAAGCATGGAGGAGATGAATATATTTAAATGGAGAAAGACTTGCAGAAAGCTGCAGAACAGAGGGATTTCAGAGTCTTTGTGCATACATGCCAAATGCCAACTTCCAAGTTCAGTATAAAAATAGGGAAGTTTTGCTAAAACTATACAAGGCACTAGACAGACCACAGCTGGAAAACTGTGAACAGTTGTGGGCCCCTTATCTAAGGAAAGATATACTGCCATTAGAGTCAGTCCTGAGAAAGTTCATTCGGCTGATCCCAGGTACAGAGGGACTGTTTTATGAGGAGAGGTCAAGTAGGTTGGGTCTGTACTCATTGGAAGTTTAGAAGAATGAGAAACGACCTTATTGAACCATACAACATTCTGAGGGGACTTTGCAGGGGAGATGTGGAAAAGGTGTTTCCCATTGTGGGAGTATTTAGGACCAGAGGGGCATCATCTCAGAGTAAGGGGTCACCCATTTAAGGCAAACATGACAAATTTCTTCTCTCGGGGGAGGGGGAGTGAATCTGTGGAATTCATCACCACACAGGACTGTCAAGGCTGAGTTATTAAGTATATTCAAGGCTGGAAAAGATTTTTAATCGGGAAGGGAATCAAGGGTTATGGTGGAAAAGGCAGAGAGTGGAGGTGAGGATTATCAGATCAGCTATGATCTCCTTGAATGGTGGAGCAGACTTGATGGGCTGAATGGCCCAATTCTGCTCCTACATCATGTGGTTTCAGGGAGCCAATGCCTACAAGCTGTTTATGGAAAGGTTTTGTACAAGCTGGAGAGGCTGCTGGTGAGAGGTGATGAGCAAACTAGTGTCCCCATGACATCTCATCACCTGGAGATACAGTCTATTAAAGAACACCAGGAACAAGACCATTCATTCCATCGAACCTGCTCCAGCACTCAACACAACCATTGTGAGCTTGGGATTCACCTGCATCGCCCCATGAATTTCCCACATCCCTTAATTCATGGGAGACTGAAAACCTTTCTGTCCCCGCCGTAAATATATTTAACTGTGGAGCCTCTGGGGCAGGGAATTCCAAAGGTGCACCACTCTCTGGAAGAAGACGTTTCTCCACGTCTCAGTCTGAAATGACTGACCCCTGACCCTGTGTTTTATAAACCCTCTCTCAGGTTCTGCTCTGTAAAGCCTTTTCAGAATCTTGTATGTTTCGTAGGTATCACTGACTTTGTGAAGTTTAGAATGAGCTCTCTTACCTGTTGACCTTTGCCCCTCTCAGGTACCAGGTGATCAGTACTCCTACAGATATATTCATGGTGATGGAATATGTGTCGGGTGGGGAGCTCTTTGACTACATCTGTAAGAACGGGAAGGTAAGGGCATCAACCGAGCCTCGGTGGGGGGAGTATACACAGAGACTGTGGTGCCGGAGCAGGGGCGGGAAGAGTATATTTAGAGACTGTGGTACCTGAAGAGGTGACCTGGGTGGGGAGTATACACGGAGACTGTGGTGCCTGGGGAGTTGACCTGGGAGGGGGGAGTATACACGGAGACTGTGGTGCCTGGGGAGTTGACCTGGGAGGGGGGAGTATACACAGAGACTGTGGTGCCTGGGGAGTTGACCTGGGAG